GGGGTTATAAGGGAGTGTGCCTTTGTCGTTAATCCAGCCCTTCATTGCTAGCATGTTTTTTAATTAGAATTACTGGTAGCTGGAATTCTTACATGATTCTAGCTGTTGCAGTGGATGTAACGTAACACGCTACAAAGTTGCTCCGCAGTTCAGGGAGGGAGAGAAAGGTGACGCTTGTTTATTTAAATCAGGGGGAGATGAGTTTATTTCCGGAAAATTGTACAGTAAAACTTTATCATTAAACGGATGTCTTCTCCATTAGATTTAGATAACTGTGAGGAGACGGGTAGCCTGGCTGGCTCAGAGGCTGGCAGCTCCTGTTCACTACCTTCTGTTTTCGTCGAGGCAGCCAGAAATAAAATGTCCCAGGTGAAGGTAGATGAGTGTCACCGTGCAATTACAAAGTTTATTGTTAAGGGTTTGCACTCATTTTCTACAGTAGAGGCCCCTGAATTTCGGTAGGTGAATGTGAGGCTGTTCTCAGGTTGTCATGTTAGATTGTCTAAATAAAATATCAAACTCATTCATTGTCATATATTCTCTAGGGAAATGACCATGGCTCTGAACCCAAAATACAAAGCCCCAAGCAGAGAAAGCCTAAGCAGCCATTTGATCCCTGCTTGGTATAATGTTGAAAAGGGAAATCTGATCTCTGAGCTGAAAACAGTGTCGAAGGCAGCAATCACGGCTGATGGATGGACAAGTTTTAGTCAGGATCATTATCTCACAGTTACTCTGCACTATGTGAGCAATGGCCAGGCAAAGGAAAAGGTCCTAAAAACCAAAGCTGTGTACCAAGCTCAGACAGGCTCAGCTGTAGCAGAGGAGATTGATGACATCCTAGAGGAATATGGAATACGTGAAAAGGTTGTGGCAGCAACTGTTGACAATGCAGCCAACATGGATGTAGCCATCAAACAGCTGAGCATCCTGAAATTTCCATGCTTTGCCCACACGCTCAATCTGGGAGCGCAGAAGCTGTACAATTGCACAACAATTTCAAATTGGGCAGCACGAGTTCGAGCAGTGATAGTTTGGATGAAGAGGTCACACATGGCAAAAGTTGTTCTAAAAGAGAAACAAGGCCTGTTCAGTAAGATACTCTCATGACACTGCAATATATACATGAAAATATAGATGTATAGGTATGTGTACATAAATCATTAGATAATACATATTTACATTGTGTGTATGTTAACCCTCAGAGCTGCCCAAGCACATGCTCCTCCTGGATGTAAGGACCAGGTGGAATTCCCTGTATTTGATGATGGAGAGATTCTGTGAGCAGTTCCCTGCTATCCAGGCGGCAGCCATAGACCCACGTATACGAAAGTCCATGGAGAAGGAAAGGTGATATTTATTTGAATGATAATATAGCTTAAATTTGTTTTAAACTGGTTTTGTTGTTGTTTATTTATGCTACATACATCCTTTTTCTGTTTTTATGTCATTCTTTAGGTTAGCCAAAATAGGCAATGAGGACTTGGGAAAAGCAGAGGCCTTTGTGCAGCTCATGCGGAAGCATTACACATCCACACTGGCTGTCTCCAGTGAGAAAAGTCCAACCTGTGGTGAGATTTTGCCCATCTTGCAGAAGCTGGAGCAACAGTACACTGTGCAGGAAGGTGAATCTGCTTTCACAAGGAGCATCAAAGAGAACATTTGGAATGATCTCTCCAAACGCTACCAGGCAAGCNAAATCAATGGGAACTACTAGACACATCTGCAATCAACAACAATTATTGAAGATTTCCAGTGGACTTCACCATTGAAATTCACCAGAGCTATAGTTAAAGTGACAATGTCCATGTGCATGGCAGCTGGATGTTGATATACATTGTGTAAAAGTTAAAAGAAATTTGTTATTTCACCTTTCCGATTCCTGATCCTCCACGGACGGGTTCGTCGTTGGATTGCCAACTTGAAGAGGGAGGATTTGCCATCGAACTTCTAATCAGAGAAAAAACACGTAATATGTAGCCAACATTTAGAAGAATGTTTTCAAGATGACTTGGATAGCAATTGCGACAAACACCAGATACAGCACTGGGACTTGCTCAACAGCCGATACCGCACCGTGGCAGTAGTGTTCTCTGAAAAACATGGATGCCTCCAGTAAAGCACATTAAAATGAAAATTACTCTTAATAAAAACACTTATCATTTATTGAACAGTATGTAATAATTTCATATTTAAAGTATTTTCAAAAATTTGAATTCTGAATATGAGCGGACTTCTCCTTTAAGAGTGGAACTTGACAAATACTGCAGAAACGGAGAACAGAGATAGAATGAAGCAGAATGAGGAAAAATGATTGCCATGTGATCCAGCACCATAAACATATAGCAGCATAAATACAGAAAATAGCTCACGATAAACTATTTTGGATGAGTAAAAGAAAGGTAGAGCAGAGCAGAAATGTCTCTCCGGATTCAAATTCCGCTGGATCAGGCTGTTAACGCTCCACCTCCACCTACATCTAAACTGGTTTCATACCAGTAATGAAGCTAGATAAAATTATCTACGCTTTAAAACAAAGTTAAAAGACTTAACCTCCCTGTTCTAAAACATACAATGAAGTTCTGGTTCCGAAAGGGAAGTGTTAACAAAGTGATCCCCATTTTTTATTTTGTTTAACAGCTAAATAAAACAATAATAAAAAAAGAAAGTTAAAAACAATCCACTGGACTACTAAGTTTGAAGACGTTTCGCTTCCCATCCAGGAAGCTTTTTCAATAGAAAAACCTGGATGACTGACAATCTTCACCAGCATAAATTAAACAATATTTATTTTTTTCAGGCAGAATAGTTAAAATAACCTTTAAATCAATTCAGTAAATTTGCTGGATCTCCTTATGAATCTTGGCATTTTCTTTGTTCTCCTTCAAAAGTAGGACTTAGCAAGGCACACAGCTAACAGTGACTTTAAATGGATGGACACTGCAAAAAATCTAAATCTAGACTAGTCATTTTCTTCTTAAAGGCACACTATGCAACATTTTTCAGTTAA